TCCCCAGTGAAAAGGCAGAGTCTGAAAGTTCAGATCAATGCAACAGATGACACCGTTTGCATGAGGTATCTTCGACCAAGTCAAAACACCAAACTAGAAGGCTTTGTCCTGGGTTACGGAAGCAACTTCTTCTCCAATCAGTACATTCCTTTACCTTCGGATGGAAAAATGTACATAACAGAACTTGGTAAGGCATATTTGCTTTGCATGCTACTGTTGTCATGAATTGCAGGAAGAGAGTGAGGAGAATGTGAACCTTTGGGTTTCTTAATTTTTGTTTTTATTGGGTTGTTGCTCAGAGTTTCTTTGTGTTTGTTTAAGGTTGCTTCGAAGAGTTTCAGATGAAAGTGGAATTAAGAGATCCTTCAAGGAGAACAAATAGTTCTTGTTGTTTGGAAAAGTTTGCTACTGGTATTTGTTTTGAGGATTTTCATTGTACTAAGAGTTTGTGCTATATTGACCACATCACAGATCAAATGGGATGATTTGCCTAAAGTTGCAGTTATAAAGTAGAATACAAGGAAGATGTGCATGTTTTTAACAAATAGTACAAGAATCAGTGAAACAGTTTTGAGAACTGTGTGGTTGATTCCTTTTGCTAGAAACGTTCGTATCAAAATGATGCCTTTTCTGGCAGGGGCTTATTCCAATTCTACATGTTATAGAATAACCTATAACTTCTGTGTCAGAAGTTACGGATGGAATTCCATGAGCTGTTGTATGGAAGAGATTAAACCACATCAAGAATGTTATATCCTGTTGCCTGGGATAAGGAGGAAGAAGGGAATTTGGTTGTCCCTTTGATCTGGGGTTATGTCGGTATGGGCAGGATAACAAAATAGTAGAACTGGATTAGTTAGAATTGTCTGATAACTCATTAAAACATTGACCAATCAGGATTTGACCTTTTAAGAAATCTGTTCAATCTCTGAGGATTCTCCTGTTGCTTTTTTTAATCTTTTCTACCCTCATCATTGTAATGCCAGTGATCTTAGTGTAAAATGAGGGGGAAGAAAGGATGCATAAGCATAGAAGTAACAATTACTGTCTTTTTGATGTGGTCAGTTAAGGCAATTCTTGGGATCTGCTCCAGGCTGAAAACTGCAGAATAAAAAAGAATAAATAAGATGTTAGACAGAGTAATTAAGATATTGGAGGCTTTCATTAGATCACTGTAGCAAAGGTTGACTTTTTCCTTTTTGTGAGTTGGTACTCCTGGGATCTCTCTGTAATTCTATCACCAATCCAGTGCTTGAGTTCATAACTGTCACTTAAGCTGTGTTTGATTTATCTGATTTATCCCATGTGTAACTTTTGAATCAGTTCACTAAGAATGGTGTATAGGATTTTCTGTAGAATACTGTGAATAGGGCATAAGTAATACCTGCGTAGCTGTATTGCAGGAGTAGCGAGGATTAATATTTTTCTGAGAGATCCTTGGAAAGAGGAAAAAACACTGAATGTAACATCGTGTAGATCATTTACACTTCCTATTTAATAGCAGCTTTAATACTTAATGCTTTGTGAAACTGTATGAAGACAGAAAGGTGGACGTCTCCTGGAACATACGGGACTTTGGTATTTTGTAACTTTAACGTTAATAGCTGATGGCTGGAAACTGTAGACCCCTTTCTTTAGTTCTGCAGTGCATCAGCGTGCTAGCCGCATGCATATTCATTAAAGCTTACTGTTAAGCAATCAAAACCTTGTAGCAACGAATGAGGAAGATGAGAAAACCCATGATACATAGAGCCTGTAGTGAAATGAACACATTTTCTCTAGTGTATCTGGAGAGGGAAAAGCCCAAGTGTTGGAGAGTACTCTCCTTTTCCTTTTAAATTATTTTGAAGGAGAATAACTTCAACATTTTAAATCACTCATGCTAATACAAGTTTTCAATCAGTTTCCTAGTGACAATGAATCTATGATTGTGACTTCTGAGTGTCCAGTAACTAAAAATGCAATGTGCAACATAATATAAAGACTAGCATTTCCAACTTTAAGAAAATGTCATCTTTGAAAGGACAGGAATAAAAGAAGCTGACAGCAGAATGTACTTCAAGTTGCAAGCATTTATTTAAGGCAATTAACAGTACACTTATTGGAGCTATTGCTTTTAGTTAAGAGATTTAGGGTTAGATTATATGCTTTGTGGACTTGTTTATCAGAGTTTGGAAGCAGAGAGCACATCATCTTTCCCATTTCATTAATATTAAATATCACATTAAACTGCAGCTTTGACTGTACTGTCCAAGTGTGTACAGAACACGAGCTAAAGCAAGAAACATCAGTTGTGCTTTTGGCTCTATTTTAGAGTGACTTGTGTGGCAGAGGTGAAGAGAAGACAGTGGTGATTGCTAGCACCCCCTACAGTTTCAGGGACCAGCTGCTGGCACAAACTGGAGGAATTGCAGGATGGTTCTTAGTTTTAGGAACAATGGTTAGGTTTTATTCTGGCAGCCAGAGAACTCAGCTCAGCACACACTTCATGTGGATGTTAGAAAAAATAAGGTATTGTAAAGGAACAATAAAAATACTCTCAAGATACTTTCCAAAGATACAATATCCCTAGACCCTACTGCTGAAAAATCATACGTTATCTTTGTACTCCTAGTACATCTCATGTGATGAAGTTGGCCTAGTAGGCTATCTTCATATTAAAACAATATGGTTTTAAAATTTCACACTAAAAATTGTCTATTCCATGTTCTAGATATTCTAGTGATTCAAGTGCCACTGTACACTTTGCAAAAGGTCTTCAGTGGGTTCCACACATTTTTCCACAAACAGAACAACTAGGTTTACATAAAAATATTCACACTCACCCTGAGATCTCCTTCTTGATCCTCTCACGCTTTGGCTTATCCGACTTTTACAGAAAGCAGATGAACGTTACAGGCTGCCCTGAATGTTGTTGGTTGTGGCTTTTACTGAACGGGATGTGGAGGGAGTGATTCCTGAATAAGAAAAGACATTGTGGCCTATTTAGACCAAGACTAATACAATTTAATGTTTCCTCCTCTCCTGTCAGTTTTAGTGATTCATGGAAAGAGAATACCTTTCCCAATCAATTTAGGGACTTTGATCACAACCTTAAATTGGTTTCATAGCTGAAATGTAAAGATAGAAATGGAGATTTAAGGCCATTTGTTAGTTACTAAAAGGTATGTTTTCCCAATGGATTAAGGAACATTACTTTAGCATATAATGTCCTGAGAGAGTGCCTAGGTCCAGGAGAATGGAATCTCTGTATCTGGACAAAAGTGGATCTTGTCCTAGTAGTATTAAAATTGTCTATTCAGTGAAGATTTGTAAGTGAAGGTGGTACAGATATGCAATCAACTGTAGTCCGTACTCAAAGAAAAAAAATTATTTCATTAATATAGTAGTTAGGCCAATGTAAGAAGATATACAGACTTTGCATATAAGTAGGTCATGATTCCCTCCCTAAAATGCATCAGTCCTCTAAAATGTCCTTTGTCCTTTCTAACGAACAGTATAGGTCTACACAGCAGAATGAAGTGCCTTGCAAACATTTCTTTGGTTTAGCTCTGCATACCTGGTTTTGTTAATGGAGCAGCATAATCGGTATTCTGTTTGGGATAATTGTCCCTGATTGGTGCTGGAGTATGGGGAATGAAGCAATGACTAACTTATTTTTTTTAATAGATATATATAAGGCCCATTCCAACCCTGTCACTGTTGATTAAGATGAAATTTATTGTCAGATTTTCTGCTGGGTCACACACCTCTTATAACCCTGTTAACAATAAACTTGAAGTCAACAGATTTATTAATTTATGAAATTACATGTGTATATGTGCATATATTTTAAAAGAATGAATAAGGACGTGGTCTTTCCTAGGATTTCCAGGGGAGATATATGGCTTTGTAGAAAGATGACATCCACCTACATTTTTTCCATTAAAATACTCCGCATCTCACTGCAGTGATTCTTATCTTAAAATACTTGTTTTTTCTTTCTTTTGCAACTAAAATAATAACTGAGCCAGTAACATTATCCATGAATTGGGAACTACCTGCAGAGGGCATGTACAAAGAGAAAAGGGTTCTGTTGGATTTGCTGAATTTGTAATGAGTTCATGCTGGCAACAAACTCTTGAGCAGCTTCATGCATTGCTAGATAGATGAATTTGAATCACAGTGAAGGGTAAATGACAATGATGAGGCAGCATCAAAGTTTGGTTCAAAGAAGTATGCCTCTTTTATCAGCATACAGGATGTGTTTTCTTTTGTGCTGAGGGTACTTTATGAGCTTACATGACAGTGAACAACATTATTATTGGTCATGGAAGCTATTCAGACTGTGTTAAAAGATACCAAAATGTAAATTCAGCTAGACTAATAAATAAGGTGAATAGACCCATCCAAAAGTTCTGAGCTTGACTTAAACCTTTATCTAAATCTGTTCAGTCTGCGTGACTCATAAAGAAAGAGTATTTCCTTGAGAAATTTATGCTAGTTTTTTCTAACTTGGTTAGGAAGATTGCAAGTCAGCCTCCTTGAATTTGTTGATACTGTTGGAGGAACCCAAAAAATTGGATGGAGGCAGGAAAATTTTGCAAGAATGAACAGCAATTAGCAAACAGAGTGAACAAAATTAATTTCCTTTTCAGTTTCTAAAACCAGGTCAGAGTTGGCCTTTCTTTTACCTGAACCGGACTGTACAGTGTAAGATGAGAATGTATTGGCAATCCTGCTTTATAACAACCATAATAAGTGATGGGTGAATTTTGCATATATAGGGAAGAATTCTAGTACCACCTTGAACACATTTTAGAAAGCGCAATTCAGGGATGTGTGCTAGAGCAGTGCTTAGCTAAAAGATCTTGCTGTGCAGTTTCTTATATCTGATCAATTCCCAGAAATATGCAGATATATTAATCACATGGTTTTCAAGATGCCAAATAATGTGAACATTAATTCATAAGTATGTTGCTTCCTAATAACTTACCAAAAAAACCAGATTCTTACTGCTAATGTTAGCTGAGCCTGGTGGACTGGAAGACCTGAAAGAGGTCAGCAGCTGCACCTTCAGCTAGACAAGCATACTGACCAGCAGCAGGTTCATTCACACCAGCCCCTTTTTTCCCCCTTCTCTATCTTTTCCCATGCTTGTTACACCACAATACACTTTGATCCTTCCCTTTCTCCATGTTTGGCCTT